TCCATCACAACAGTTACTATTATATTGTATTTAAAAACAGAAAGGTCGACCTTTTGATTTCTTTAGTTCATAGTAACATTTTCTCTTTATTTTGGAGAGATGTGTGCATGGATGGAAAGATTCGACAATGAACTGAAATCTGAAATAAGCAGAACATGCAACTACATTTTTATCAACATGACGACAGGCTTGACAGCTGAGGAACATCACAGCAGAAGTTCTACATTGTTTCTAAATTTATTGGCCTTAGATCTGAGAACAGTTTGTCAAAAGAACCTGATTCACAGTCCCCTCCCCCCAAACTCTTTTTGTTTCAACTGACAAAATAACAGTTTTCACTTTCGAGGCAGTGTCCATCCTACCTGGTCAAGTCACTTATTGACGTCCAGTGGAGATGTGAAAACTGGAGAGGAATTAGACACTGAATTACACTGGAGGACTTTTGCTCTCCTCTGTTTTGGTAACTCTGACAAACAGTGATGAGGGAGTCACCTGCTGAGAGTTTTTGAAAGCACCTCCTGCTGTGACTTTTCTTCTGTGCTGTATAAAAACCCTGCTGCACCGTAAGTTGAACCAAAAACCAAACTTTTGTTCCTCCTTTATTTCTAATGAATGTTTCCTTCTCCCTCGTGGAGACACCTCTCTCCCTTTGACTTTTTAACAGTAATTTGTCAGCAGTATTTTCCTTTTCACTGGGACCATTAGAAACCCCAGCGTTCTGTGCAGGGAGTAAAGGGAGGATCGGAGGAGGCGGTGTGTTGGCGGGTTTAGAGGTTAAGGGGCTATAACGCAGGCGGGCCCCAGCTGCGGACTCTTTGATTCGGCCGAGGAGAGAAAGCGGTGATTGAGACGCGAGGCTGTGCCAGTTATCTTAACCTCCCACACTTCAAAGCTGGGTGAGAGCTCGCCTGACTCCTTCCTCTTTTTCCTCCCATCCTCCCTCCCTCCCTTCGTCCTGTAAAGGGAAAGGAATTGGGGGAGACTAAACCTTTGCAAGCTGTCTGAACAGAGAAGCGTTTCATTTCCTGCAAAAAAAAAAATAGTCCAGTCAACATTCCTGAACACTAATGTAGAGAGAGGAGGAGGCAGAGAAAGGAGGTGAGAGGAGGGGTCAAGTTGCTCCTCAATCCCTGTGTTTGTGTCGAATGGGTCTTATGAAGCTCTGGCCTGCTGCCCCCTACAACCACTACACATCCCTGCTGTTACCACCAACCCCTTTTTTAAAAAGTTGAACACACACACACACACACATACACACACACTCACACTCACACTCACACTCACACTCACACTCACTCACTCCTCACCCGCAGCCCTCAGGGCCTCTTCCCCGGCAGGAAGGCCGGTGCTTTTCATGTCTGTGGTAGGGGAGGAAAAATGCTCCCCAGGAAACAGGGTGCAGTCGCGGGCGTGCAGGCCGGCTTTGAGATCCGTAGATGAAAAGAGGAAGGCGGTGGAGGTAAATGAAAGCGACAGGGGCTCCCTCTTTCTGAGCTCTGTTTCTTTCAGTTTCTGCCCTGCGCGTCTCGGGTTCAGCTCTCCCAGGGAAAGGTGGCCTCTGTCCTCTTCCCTTTTATCCACATGTGGTGAAGTAGTGTGCAGGAGAGTGTGTGTAACCATGTAGGATTTGGAGGTTTTGTTTTAATGTAAAGATGCATCAAGCTGCCGGACTCAACTGACTTCGCTCCTACAATAAAATCAAAAGAAAGACAGACAAAACTAATTTTGTCTTTCTTTTTTCACTTTCACCAAACGTCCATCTTTTTAGTCACACGAGACAGCTGTCCACCTCTGTTTCTGCCTCTGCACTTTGATCACCGATTCCATTTGATGATGCTCTGATCTAAAATAACTCATCTGTCGGCTCGTGCTCCATCAAGAAATGGGAAAGAACACATTTGCAGCAGGACAAACTGTTTCTCTGTCGGGGAAAAGGCCAGTTTTAGTGAGGTGGACTGATCAGTCTGGTAACATTAGAACAGCCCGGTATCAAAGCCTACACCTAAACCAGATTGGTTCAAGTAATGACTAAAGCAAGGCTATGAAATTTTAACCAGCTGGGTCACTGGAATGGTTCTCCTGCGTGGAGCTTTTCTCCATCTTGCTTTCACTGTGCCCACCTGCAGCGCAGCCTAAATGTCAACCAGAAGCCAGACAACTGGGGGCTTCCAGAGAGTGAGAGGAGGAATGAGTCAGGAGGAGGGAGGAGAGTAAAGAGCCGAGCCGAGCAGTGCCAGCTGGGTCCCGGCAACCCCCATGTTAGACCAGATGAAAGGCAGACCAGCCCACATCCTGTCGCTGACCTTTAACCCCTGTGTAGTTCCGCCTGGGCCCAGCACTGTGGCTCTCTTTCAATCAGCTGTAGCACTGAGAACAGAAACATGTAGTGATTGATTATGTTGACGATAATGGTTGCAATTTGTCCCACACTGAAACTGGGAGGAATGCATGCATGGTGAGACGCTTTGAGTCATTGTGAGTCATCTTGATACAGTTTGTCTGCCTTCGTGAATGTGATCTGTGTTGTTCTCTGGGCTTTTGATGCCCCCCCCGCCCCCCCCCCCCATATCTGATGAATAAAACCAGCACATTCCCCTTGTTTATACATGTGAGGACAAAATAATTGACTATAAATATAAAGATTAGTTCATTTTTTTGAAAGTGATTTTAACATTGTCTTTGCTCTGGACTCATGAGTACACTGTCATTATTTAGGAAAAATGAATTTACGTTGAAATATGAACTTTTTCTAACATTGCCTCAATATAATTTATTGGTCTTAGCAGAAACTAGGCTTTAAAAATAATAACTTTGAAATGCTCTAACAATTCATTAAAAAAAAAGGAGGTCCATTTTTTCAGACCATCTACTATATATGTCAGTTATTGCTTTAAACTACAAAAAACAGCCAGTACAGACCCCTTCATGAGAGTCGTAGTATTAAGTATTGGAGTGATTGTAATTGTTGAAAAGCTAAAAACAGCAGACTAGGATATTGTAAATGAAAACCGTCTGACAGCTGAACCAGAAATCAGATTTTCTCACTCTGAAGTCAACACAGGGTCAGCTGGACTGAGCTGAGATACTTCTCCAAAACTACATAAGAAATGCTGACGTTTCACAACTGAATGGTACACATTACTACGTGACCAATGGGTTATGAATATTTTTTGTGAAATACTAATAATTATTGTGTTCAATTCCTGTCTCTGTATAAAAACACTGGAAAATACTTCATATAAATGCACTTTCTTTGAGGGGAGGTTTGTGTCGATGCAGTGAAGTTTTTTCCAGTGTCTCAAACCTGCTGCTTCTCACTTCCTTCTGCAGGAGGAAAACGGAACAACTTCTCCACATGCAAAACAAAGGCAGCAGCAACGGGCCCTCTTCTAGAGATGGAGGCCTGTTAGATTCCATGAAGACCCTTAAATCTCCAACCTGAAGCCTCCACCTCTCAGAGAACCTACCGTGTCCACATCCTCTCCCCCATTATTACCCTCCTATGCCAGCAACCCGTTCTCCCCCTTTCCTTCCACCACCACCACCTCCTCACCCCTCACTCCTCACACTCCCGTCTTAGAGGCGCCTGCTGTAAAGACTCTTTAAACGAGACAATCATGATGACTATGGAGCATCGTCACAAAACACACCCCCTCCAGTGGACACTTTTGTCAGTTTCATTCTAAAAATCAGCTTTACTGCAAATAACCAAGGCACTGCACTGAAAAACGGCAACACATTGTGATGTTCACACAGACGTCTCCCCGGCAACACATTGTGATGTTCACACAGAACATGTGTGAACATCACACTGCACACTGCACTGCCCACTGCACTGCCCAAACGTCCCAAACACCTGTTTCTAAGTTATTGTAACTTATTTGTCACGTCTGTTTCTTTTGTGTAGTTTGAGGCCCACCTCACACCTCCCCCACCCCCTCCCCCCCAGCCCTCACTCTCACTGGACTGGGGTTTTTAACTGACTGACCAAACACCTCTTTTAAGACTGCACTAATAAAGATGGAGGGATCTCATCTCGTCTGTCACACGCCCTCAAGGCCCTATTTTAGTCTGTTCGCTGACCAGTTGGTGCAAAAAAGGATCAACCATTTAATTTGCTCTTTATTTTGACTGAATTTTTGTCCTGAATGCTTTTTGTATCTTGTTTCAGTTTCTCGGTGTATATTTTAGTGACATTGATTTTTGTTTTTTTAATATTGTTTTTTTTATATAGTGGTATATATGAAAATAAGCTTTGGACACAGGAAAGCCATTTTTTCTTGTTAAAGCGTCTTGCAGAAAATTGAAACTTAAGGCTTTTTTGATAACTATTTGTAACAAATAGTGACCTCGGGTCTTGCTCAGATGTAAAATATTGCTCAGTATGTGTACTTTTTAAAAACTGTCAGGATATGTCCATTTCCCTGGTATTTTTGCAAACAACATTAGGACAGAGGCATGAGTGGATACTCAGAGGCCAATATTTTATTGTTTGAAACATGACAAATGAAGCAGATATATATATTTACCCCAGCACTTGGCAGTCTCTCATTTATTGCAATGGACCTTTGTCTTTTCTGTCTGGTAGCTAATAGTGTTTCTTTAGTCGTGTTGTTTATTCCATGCAAGCATCTCTAACATTTTGATTTAATGCTCTCTTTTAGTATTACTTGATCAATTCCTTTTTTATTCTCATATTCTGGGTCACTGTGATCTTGGTGTAGCATTTTGCTTCCCAAGTGTTCATATTTGAACTGTTTTGTTTTTTGTTTTGTTTTTTTAAGAAAAATAAAAAGGCACCATTGGCACATGTGATCACTTTGGTGTTTGGAAGAGCTGAACATAAAGGGTACAACCAATGCTGAAACTGTTGCCAAAGGTGAGGCAATTCAACACTTTGGTTCTAAATAACAATGTGATTGATAGAGAAATAAATATAAGCAATATTATATCAATTATAACATATACATAACACACACACACATATATATATATAAATTGTTTATTAAGGTATGAGGGAAATTACTAAGCCATAGTTTTTAGGAAGCCTATGAATTACAGGAGGCGCAAGTTTAAATTCATCAATTCTTAATCTCAAACATGACGAGGACTACGTCACGAACGGTATTAAACATTAAAATGTGCCAAAGCTCAGAGCTCAACTCCAAACGGACCTGTCAGTGACCACATTGCACGTTCAACAGCACCACCCTGTGTTCACCCTTGAACACGAGGAGATTAATTTACAAGTTCCTGTTTACTGTTCCTTTTAGAAACTCTGTCCCACATAGAGTGACCACCTGTCCCCCTTACATTACAAAGACAAAGGCTAAAATTGCTGTGCAGTTCTGAACCAGGAACCTGAACTGGTGTAAAAACGGCGTTTCGGTCGGTCATGGCAGTGAATCTGATGGGAAACGACACGGTGCACGTGAGTCTCACACACAAAGTACACAACAGAAAACATCTAAAAGGGTGCAGTATTTATTCTGCAAACTAAATAACACTAAGTTAGGTAAAATTACTGCAGTTACCAGTGTTTACCATGCTGTGCAAGATGCACATTCATATTCAACCGACTACAGAAAATCTCAAATCGCAGAGATTCAGGTCAAAGTTCACTCTGCACACAGCTGTATAGAGTTCTACAACGATGCAGAATATATGCTGTATCCATGGCCATTTAAACTCGTATAGGTTTTAACATTTGATTGCTTTTCTGCTACAAATATGTTTCAGAAACGTGCTATCCATAATGCTGAGAAGGGTTGTTGGCTTGCCACCTGCTGGATTGTGCTGCAAAATCTGTTTGGTGGCGGTGAGGTATTTCTATTTTCTATTTCCATGTTTTCGTCACAGGTGGCCATATAATCCAGGAGCTGTTGGTTTTACACAGATTGTAAAAAAAAAATTCAAAATATGCAGAAATCTTGGAAAAATTAATAATAAATAATTATTCTCCATTTGACCAGGATAAAAGGGTAAATTAGGATTCTGCCAAAAACATTTGAAAACCTCAAAATTCTGTAGTTTCATACAGAACATGTAGAAAAGATAAAATTTTGAATAGAAATCCAGATTATTCATGATACTTTTTCAACATCTGACCAAAAATGACAAGCTAAATCTGGATTATGACAACAAAAGGAAATTTTATAAAAATACATTTCAAAAAAATATTATCTAAATGCCCTGATTTGATGAGATATATGCAAAAAAGATAACATTTTGAAAAATATTTTTAAAAACATTTTTCTAAATTATTTAGTTTTTGATCAAAAATGATACAAAGTTTACAATTTGACAGTACATTTTATAAAAATGAATTTCTAAAAAAAGTTTTCTGAATACACTAACTTGAGGAACAAGCAGGAAAAGATAACATTTTGAAAAATATTTTTATAAAAATATTTGTCAAACTATTAGTTTTGACCAGAAATGACACGAAGTTCCGATTTTGACAATAACTTTAATATAATTTTTCTCTAAATACCGTGTATTCATGAGAAACATGCAAAAAAGATAACATTTTGAAAAATAATTTTACAAAAATCTTCTTCAAAATGTATGTTTTGGACTGAAAATGACATAAAAAGTTCAGATATTGACAAAAACGTTAATAAAAATAAATTTCAAAAACTTTTCTCTGAATGCCCAAATTTGATGAGAAACATGCAAGAAAAAATAACATTTTGAAAAATATTTTTACAAACATTTTTGTCAGAATTTATTAGTTTTTGACCAAAAATAACACATTTTGACAGAGAATTTTATAAAAATAAATTTCAAAAAATGTTCTCGGACTGCCCTATTTTGATGAGAAAAATGAAGGAAAAGATACAATATTGAAAAATATTTTTACAAACATTTTTGTCAACTTTTATTAGTTTTTGACCACAAATGACATGAAATGTTGACATTTTGACTGAAACTTTTATACATAGAAAATTCTAAAACTCTTCTGTAAAAATCAAGATGATGACCATAAAAATAAAAAGTCCCTGAAAT